AGGAACAAGCATGCATATTATAGAATAACTCCACTTATAGGTTTTGAGTTTTAAACTTTGTTTCTAGTGCGTGTTAGCATGAATCACGCACTACTTTCCTTTCTGAGGTTAGATGAAGCTGTTTTTCGAAGTAACATGTATGATATATGAAGCTGCTATTAGAAGGTATCCAAATGTGAGTCTGTATATTCAAATATAAGTCAGGGCGCTGTTACGTTTATAGGCACAGGCTGTAATTTTTTGCTTCAGGAGAAGTTAGAAAGTTAGAAACTGAGGAGAAAATTAAGTGCATGTCAAAACCATTCATGGACTTTGAGATACTGAAAGCCTCATTTTTCAGTGTTCTCGGCATTATGCGTCACTTTCTGTTTCAAAGCACATTTCTCACTGACTTCAGTTGCAAGTGAGAGCACTTAAAATTTCTGCAGACCAAACTGCAGTGCCTCAAATCAGGGATCAGTGAATTGAGCAATTAGAGCTCACCTAAGAAAGGAAGGTGTCACTGATTTGCCATTGTCACGTAGAAACATGTTGAAAAGGCAAAGATGGAATACAGTTCCCTGTACATTTTTGTCTGACCTGAGGCCAGGCAGTCATCCCCTTCACTGTACTGCTCTGCTAAAATCCCCGAGTACTACTGTTCTGCCAACTGAGGCAAGAGTTCCCTGGAAGAAGACAGAAAGTGTCATAATGTAACTAAAGACTTTTATATGATGAGAACACTGTGGAAAGTTAAGGTGGCAGCCCTCATTGTGGTATTTCCTAACTTTTGAATGTATGGTTTATGGTCTTTAATGTATAGTTAAATAGATACCAGTGTTGAATCTGGATGTAACTACTTTACGTAAATATAACTATTGTTGTACAGGAAAGGGAATGACAGACTAGTATAACTGAAGTTCATACATGGAGACAAATCAAGCTGTCTGATTGAAAACCATATCCTTTAAAAATAACTTTGTAAGTGCAAAGCATATGTGTAGCCATGCCTAGGACAGTAGTCCATGACAGCCTATGATTTCACTGGAACTTTAGGTTTAGAGTAAAAAAATAAATACAGCATAAAAAAAAATATTCATTCTAAAGGAAAAAAAGTGCTATATTTTTAAGTTACGTCTGAGAAAGGATAGCTCTCTATGATGATAGTTCTCTAAGATGATAAAAGAAATTTAAGACCATCTCAGGATGTTCTCATCCTCCCCTTGCCTCTGAGAAGGGTCAAATATATCAAGGTCATTATAAATTTGTTGCTAACCTATTCTTAAAATAACTGGTGGAGACTCCATGGTCTCTATAGGAGACCCCTGGGCAGTGCTCCACCAGTTGTACATCTAGAAAGTTGCTCCTAATAGCTAATTTGAAATTTCTTTGCTGCAATTGCAGACCATTTCTCCTTGGCCTGTCCTCCTAGACTCCCCAGCCAGCTCGTTCTGCTCTCAGCATCAGCCTCAGGGGATTGCAAGCACATCCATGTCCTCTGACCTCTCTTATGTACTCTGGACAGTCCAGCTACCAGACTTCTTTATGAGTCAGCCTTTCTGGGTGTTCAGTCATTCTCATTCCTCATCTTTGATTTCTCTTGATCCATATCTCCTTTGGAGTGCAATGTGCAGAATTACACCCACGTCTTCAGAAGAAGCATTACCAGTCTGATTAAAGCACAAAGTTTACTCTGTCAGATTTGGAGAACTAGAGACAAATGAATTAGTTTGTAATTTCCCAATTCTCTCTCTCCCCCTTTGTTAAAAGAGAGAAACTGCATTGACCTTCTTTCATTGCTCAGTGCTTTTGCTGTCCTCCAGAAGCTCCCAAAAGTAACTGCTAGTAGGTTTGAGATTGCTTCAGTCAGCTAAGTATCCTAAAATGAAGTTCACTGCAATTGTTTATGTCAAAGAAGATTAGTTAGAAAATAGCACTTTTCAGACCACTTGAAAGAACCCTCAGTACATTTAAATTTAAGGTTCAGCATTTTTTTAAGATTCCCTGAGCAAAAATCCATATTAACAATTCAAAGCTATGAATTCATTTTAAGTGCAAGCAGAATATATACTCTGGGAGTTGTTATAAAGTTAGCTGTACTTACTTCAAAAAAAACAAGCAATTGAGTTTTCTGGTTAAAATCTTGTTTAGAACAAGCAGATGCTTCTTCCTTTAAATAGTTGCAGCCAGATTCTTCTCCTTGAGTTGCCTTAGTGGCTTCAGTGGCATCCCTTGTGGAACAAGGTACTGTTCAGTCCCACTGAAACTGTTGGAGTTACTTACATGGTGAGGCATGTTTCTGTTCAAGAACTGCAGGATCAAGCTATTAAATATGGCTATACTGAACTAGAAAAATGAGAACTTATTATAAAGTAGTATATGATGCATATGTTATTTCTTATGCTGTGGTTTAAGGGTATGAGTGACTTAGAAGTAACTCTACCTTCTGAGAATGTATAGACTTTTTTTAGTTATTTTTGGCCTTTTCTATCTCCAGGTGCCCAGATGCACCTTTAAACAGTTCTGTTGTAGAGGCTTTGATTAACAAGGAGTGGTTTACGTTGTAAAGCCCTCAGCTGTCTATACAAGGGACAGCCCATATAACTGCTTATGTAACAACTTCTGAATTGTTGAACTATAATAATAAAAAAACAAACCACTGCTGCTCAATGCAGCATGTTGTAAACCATGGCAATTCATTCATGAACATAGCTGCCATGTATAGAGGGGGAAGATCTTAGAATCAGTAAATGACAAGGACTTTTGGTGGAAAATCACCATCATCTTCCATCAAAGTAAGCAGTCAGTGAAGCTACACCAGAGATGAGTTTGGCGTAAGACTATTCGGAATGGTCAGATTGTATGGGGTCATGCAAACACTGAAATGTCACAAAAGGTGAACAGTTTGAGAGAATCTTCGTTTCTTTGGGAGATATTTGTATACTTCATTCTACCTGCTACTTTGATAATAAAGCTTACAATCAAATAACAGTCTTTATGAAGTTTCCACTTCTCTTTCCAACCTCAAATTTTGGCTACAATTTCTGAAAAACATAAAGTGTAATTTGAATTTTCTGCACAACTGAGCTGACTTGGAGGGAAACTTAAATCATTAAAAAAAAAAAAAAGGCAACAACCCAGAGTTCCAGCTTTAATAGATTTGGCAGAACTTCATGATGATTTGGGTGTATTAGAGTTCAAAGTGAAGCCTAAAAGACATGACTCAAAACTAAAAATAGAGAGAGAAACGGGAGAGAATTTCTAGGGCCTTGATTTAAGACTCACTATAAAATAATGTCAACAACTAGTAACAAAGGCTTTTTATCCCTGTGCTAAAGTTGCAGAAAAAAAAACTACTAAGGAGTTTACAGTCCTAGATCTAGTATGAGCTTCTCCTATTACTTGAAGTATGTCATTCCCCTTGCTACTCACATAGTTTCCCAGACTCTAATGTGGAGATTTTCAGCCGTTATTTTCTCAAGGCATACTTTTAAACTGAGGTCAATGAAAGCAGTTTGAATATTTGTGGGACGATCCTGAGGCTAAAATGTTGTTATTGTTTTGAAATAAAGAACAGGTTGACAGAGTATCCTGTAAACACATTCAAACTTTAAACTGTACAAATAAAATGGAAAAATCTTGTAGTGAAAGGTTATTACTCAATGGGATTATAGCCTGGTTTAACATTTAAAAGTAGTCTATTTCTTGTTTTTCATAATTTCAAAACATTGATTTAGAAGAAACCTTTTTCTCAAGCCTGAATCACATTAATAACTTCTGGTTCTTTTTTCCCTTCTGCAAAATAGTACTAGCTTTCTTCAGATTAGCTGATCCTGCAAACCATAGCTAAAGTAATTGTGATTGTCACAATAGATTTTCTACTAGTGACAGTGTGGCATAAAAAGGAACTGTAAAGTGATAAAGATACAAAGAGAACACAGAAAGTATGATCTGAGAATAAGTTTCCTTCCACAGTCAAAGGAAAACCATTTGTCTGTTCTTGTAATCCGGATGCTTAGAAGTGGGTACATTGTTCTTTGCTTCTTAATGTCACTCAAAGCTAATTCAGTGCAACAATTTTCTTTTTCTGACTGTTAGCATATTATTTTCTTTTTACATTGACTGCAATTTTTCAGTTCATAACCATAGCGTTACACGTGTTGGCAGATGGCAAACGTGGAAACACCCAGCTGTCCAAAGGGTGCTGCCAGGGGCCACGGGGGAAGCTGCAGGCAGCTCTGGGCACCATGCAAGGGTGATTAGGGAGTACGAGACGGAGGAGGGAACTGTAGATCAAGTTTTAGGGGGTATAGGATGCACATCCATAGGAAACCAGGATCCGTTCATTTTTCTGCTCATACAAACACTCAGTTTGAGAAAGTTGGTTGTACACATCAGGCTCGCTTAACCTAAACCAGTATTATTAGTCTGATAGCTGTGTTGGGATTGCCTCCATCCCTCTAATGAGGGTAAGATATGAAAACCATACATTATATACATCTCAAAGCAGCATGGATTTTCCATATGAAATCAATGAAATATAAAATCGAAGTTTCTGGGGAAAATCCCACAGCTTTTGGATTGCATTGTTGTTCACAGGGGCTTCCTGGTGTTAGGCAAAATTTTGGGTGGTTTTTGTGAGCTGTGCTCCCCCTTGCCTTTTTTCCAGAGCCGGGTCTGCGGAGTTCATACATTCACACTCGCTTCCACACTGGCAGGTGTTTTCTTCTGTTCTCTTCTGAAGCACAAGCCTCTTGTTTAGGGATTGTAGTCACAAAAATACATTTAAACATGACTATTATAGCCTAGTACTTAAAAATTATGCCTCTTGAAGAAATCTGGGGAGAAAAAAAAAGGGTAAAGAAGCTTTTATCAAGAAGAAAAAGCTTTAATTATTGAACACATAGTAGTGACTCAGTTGCTGGCCTTTATTAGATGAATTGCACAGTAACAGTCTGTTCTAAACACACGAATGATGGAAGATCATCTCTTTTCAATTATGTTTCAGTACAGAGACAACCTTTTACAAAGGTATGTCCCAAAGTGTTAGTTTCACTTCTGTCTTACTTTCTTCCTGAATAAATGGATTAAAGTGACTCTCTGAGAGAAGAATATAAAAATAGCTGACACCTCACTAAATCATTTTGAAAAGAGAAATACACTAAATGTAACTAGGACTAACATCACCCTCATTAATGTGTCGGTATTTATAGGCAGAAAAGTTACCAAAATCATTATTTTTCAGTTTCAGTTTTCCTTCTTGTTTCCATAAAAATCAGCGATGCTTTTTACAAACTACAGTCATTTTTCTTACAGAAATGTGGAGTGCCTTTGTGAGAATAAAATATGTTGGCAGGTGGCAAACATGAGAACACTTGAACTTGGCTTCCAGGCTGAATTTTCAAGTATGCTTCCGGACAGAATAAATTAGCAGGAGCTGAGATCCATGCAGTTAGGCTGTGACTAGTCATTGTGCTCTACAATCACTTTTATTACTTCAGCATGAACGTATCTAGCTTTAGAGTTAATTTTAGCCCAGTGAGTCCATGCCCTGATTATTTGTGTGCTTCACTTCATCATTATGAGAAAAGCAGAAAACCTGTAGCTCCTTCTCCTGCCGGAAGCAGATACTCTGCAGTTGTTGGCTTTGAACACCCTGTTCTTTCTGAGCTCGGTTTGCATGCCCACCCGGAGCATGCTCTGGAGTACTGGAGGAGACTCCTTGCACAAGTGCTGCAGGCCATGCGTGCTTCAAACAGGAGATCAGACAGACCTTTGAGGATTATTTTATTCTGGAGGCATATAATCCACTGAGGGTTTGTTTACATATGTATTTGTTTCTCCTTACCTGCCTTAAACATGTTTTATTCATGTTTTTTAACTGCAGTCTGTGCCTGCCTAATGAATATATCTTTTTTGCTTTATAGCATTCTTCTTGATGAAGAGGGCCACATTAAGATAACAGGTATGTGAGGAATGGAAAACTTAATATCTACAAACTGATTTTTTTTTTCTACAGTATGTTCCATGCATCTTGGTCTTTGCTTGGAAAGTTTGCTTACAAAAACTCAGAAGCCAGAAAAGTTTGAGCACTGGATTTCTTTCTCTTCTCTGGCAATTCCTCAAGCACTCATGCTGTACAGCACATGGAGAACATAGTGTTTTCTTGATAAAACTGTCCCAACTGACACAAAGTGTGCAACCTTAGCTGCCTGCCACTGGGGGTGGAAGGATGCTTCCAGTATGACTGCTTACTCCAGATTAAATTCTCTGAATTATAACTCTGTAGAGAACATCTGTAAAGACATCCCTTTGCCATCCTGGAGGTGCTGTCTGGCCATCTTTTTCACTGGTGTCCATCTGGGATTATTTTTCTTAATGCTTTGTTTATCTGAGCAAGAATCCTTTCCAGCATTGTCTTCACCAAACCTGAAGTGTGTACTTCTGCTTATTTAAACTCTCTCTTCTGCTTTGGGCCACAACCTCGTTACAAACAAAGAAAATGATAAATCTACTTTCAGGACTTATTAGCAAATGCCAGCCAGGCACTCCATGTAGGCAGGGCTTCAGTGCACATGTGCTGGTGGCTTTTCTGCATGCGGACCAAAGGATGCTTCATAGCCTGGTTGGTGTGTTTCGTTTGAACAGTTTAAGTGACCGAAAATGTAAATAAGATCTGACAAGTCTTTTTTGTTTCAATTTATTTAGATTTTGGTCTGAGTAAAGAAGCCATCGACCATGACAAGAGAGCGTATTCGTTCTGTGGGACAATAGAGTATATGGCCCCAGAGGTGGTCAACCGACGAGGACACACGCAGAGTGCTGACTGGTGGTCTTTTGGCGTACTCATGGTAATGGAAAAGTTGTGTTTGTTTCTTGGAGGGGTGGTTGTAATAGTGATTAGATCCCTCAGATAAAAAGTACCGCTTTCAGCAATTAAGAGCTGATAGAAAAGTAGATGCGTAATGATTGCTTGATCACTTTTTTTACATCAGCGATAAAGAACCAGCTGCTCCTGCAGTATATGAGGTGGTGTTTGGCCCCAGATTCTCTCTTTTCCTTCTCACAGAAAAAAGATTCTCTCTTTTCCTTCTCTCCCCTTCTTTGCTGTCTTGGTTACCATGAGCCATTGAATATTTTTCCTGCACAGAAACAAAGCAGGACAAGCTCAGAAGAGCACAAGCATTTTAGAAGAAACCTCTGCCTAGTTACTAACACAGTTTCTGTTAGGAAACATTTCTCCAAGCAGCAATTTTCAGATGTTAAATACATCCTATTAGTGAAACTCAGAAATTTACCTTTTTTTTCTGCAAAGTATATATTAGAAAGGACATATTTTGGAGGGCACTCTGAACGTTTCACAGGACCTCAGTGGTTCTTTTGCCATTCGTTTGTCTTCTTTACATCAGCATCTCTGACTCTTGTTCCACTAATGAGATTTAGGTAGTTTTTGGACTGACGGTGGATTTCCTGTCATCTTATTAGCTGGTGAGAAACTGGCACTCAAAAACCTCTCTTCTCCTGGGAAAGGAAAACAAATACATATGGGTGCCATGTCATCCACCTTTTTTCTTCTGTACCATTTTGCTGTGTCTTGATTATGACTAATTTGGGATATTTGCTTTGTCCTGAGTGCATTCTGAAGCTGGTTTTAAAATTATGTATGTGAAAGTTTTAAAATGACTGCTCTTCATGGAGGAGAAATCACCAGAAACAGACACAAACATATCAATTGGCACAGAGGAATAGTTAGGAATTAATCTTTTTCTTACATGTCTGTCCTGATTTTGGCTGAGACACAGTTAATTTTCTTCTTAGTAACTAGAATAGCAGGGTGTTTTGGATTTAGTATGGGATCTGGTATGAGAAGAATGTTGATAACATACTGATGTTTTTAGTTGTTGCTAAGAAATCAAGGCCTTTTCAACTTCCCGTGCTTTACCAGTGTGCAGGTGTGGGACAGAGCAATAGATCTGCAATCACTGGCTTATGATGTGGGCTTAGGACCAAATTGACCAATGGAATATTCCATATCATGTAAAGTCATGCTCAGTATATATGCTCAGGCAGCTCTCTCTCTCTGTCTTCTGAGAGTCCCAAAATCTCTTTTGGGATTTCTCTACTTCATGATTGCTAGCCGGGGACAGGCTAAATGTTGGTCAGTGAGTGATGAGCAATTGCGCTGTGCATCAGTCATTTTTATGTTCTATTATTATTTTTATTATTATTTTTATCATTATTACTTTTAATTTTAGTTTATTTCAATTATTAAATTGTTCTTATCTTAACCCACAAGTCTCCTTCCCTTTAGCCCTTTAATTCTCTTCCCCATCCCCCAGGGGCAGGGAAGGATGAGAGAGTGACTCTGTGAGGTTTAGTTGCTGGCTGGGGTTAAACCACGACAGTGTCTTTGTATTAACTATACAAATGCAGCAATTTTTCTCCGCTGTTGCTTAACTTCTAAGAATTTTGCAAGCTATTCTGGAGATAGTTTAAATGGAATCAATATGAGAAACTGTGCTAATTCAGTTTTTATACATGAAAATCAATGAAAAGTTACTTAAAATGCAACATGAATTTGCCAAAATAGCCATCTTTTTCTAAACATAGTAAATGAAGTGGATCTCATGTGCCTCCATTATAATAAAGTATTTGATACAGTGTTGCAGGGGAAATTCATTGATTGAAGACGCTTATTAGTCCAATAATGGTGCAAGATAGTGTAGTACCTATACCATCTATGAATCCATCACAGAGGAAAACACCACAGAGAGAAAGGAGCTATTTCAACTAAAGAGTAATGTTGCCCCAGGAGCAGGTAGGAATAAACTCATTGTGAAATGTAGTTAGTCTGTAAAGTAGAAGAAAACTCTCAACTGCTTAAGAAGCAAGGTCCTGGGAAACACTTTCCAAGAAGAGCTCTGTGAGAGATACTTGACTACAGTGGAGCTGCTTGTGTTATGAGAAGGACCCAGTAACATCCTCCTGAGTGCTGCAGTATTTGACACTGGGATGCAGCATCAGGAAAGTTTTTCAGAGAAGTATTAAACCCTCCTCACACTAACCATCTAAAATTAGGTGTTCAGGTGTTAACCTGCTCCCTCCTGCACCCATCCAGCCTCTTCTGTCTGTGGTGCCATTGTTGCTGAAGAGGACAAAGGGGAGATCAAGGAGAAGTTGGTTTGTGACATTGTGATTTTTTTTAAAGCTGTATGAACAGTGTGAGTTCTTTGAAGCAATTATTCCCAGCATTGTTTTATCAAGCATAGTGCTGTCCCTTGAGCCCAGACACCATGCATTTATCACTCTCACAGAGATATGTTCAGATAACGAAGCTGATGCTGCTCTCTCATGAGGTGTGCAGGCTGTAGGTCTACCCAAGTGCTCAGTGCACGGCCACCAACAGGCAACGCAACGCAGCACACTGTGGCTCACATTGCACCTCACCATGCTTGTCATGGCTCCCCTGCAAAACCAGGGCAGAAGCATAAATGAATGAAGCAATGCGCTATTCTAATACAGCTCCATTTCCTGTGGTATGGAAGCTATTTTAGGTAGCTATATATTACACTGTGTACCACAGTCCATAGAGAATGTTTAAATTTTGTTTACCCTAAGTAGGCAACTGGTGCCACCAAAGGAAGTAAAGATAGGAAGCAATGTAAAAACTAGTGAAAATTTGGAGTGGGGAGGGCGTACATCACTGATCTAGGTGCTTGACAGCAGTTAGTCTCAGTAAATATTTTAATTTATTACCTGAAATTAAAAGGAGTGCAACATCCTTGTCTCCTATGGCCACAAATCCATTTGTGGACGTTCAGCACTTCTGAACCACATACGTTTATTCAGGAAAATCAATAGGTTACGTCTCTGTGGCGAATGAGTGATTTAGATAACTTAAAGAACCACCATCAGAGCTATTAGCAAAAGTGGTTTTAATACGAAGTTGTAAAAGTGCGACGTAGAAGGCAAGGTTCACTCTATTACCGTACAGCGCAATCATTTGAACGATGATTCCAAACTACTCAGGCACAAATCGAAGTTACCAAGGCAAAATCAAAGTTACCATATGACCAGGTTATGTGCAATGTCGGCCGCTTACCAAAGATCTGCCATTGCTAAAAGGTCTCTCTGCCTCGAGGAGCAGCGTATTCCAAGCTCACGCGCATTGATGCTCACCGTGTCACTCTGCTCCTTTGTGGATTTTCAGAGAACAGATTGAAACCAGAGGAGGTCTTGGTCCGGCTGTGCCTCAGGACTTTACCTCCTTTGGAGTCTGTACCAAACTACCGCCAGTTTGGTTAGGGGATCGTGTGCATCTGTCACAGTCTCATATAATAAATATATCCCAACCCTTCAATTTTTTCTATTATATAGTTAGCTTTAGAAGATAGCTGTGCCTTCTCACTATCTGTCTGCAATTAAATGATGGTGTATTTGATGTATAGATTGTTTTTCTTTCACCTGCTGATGAACTTGGCTCCTTCCCTCTTGTTTTTCCCTATGCTTTCTTCCCCCCCACCCCAGTCTCTCTTTCCAACCCCTCCTCTAGGGATTCAGTGTATTAGAATTAGAAAAGATAAGAATCCATATAAAAGGACATCACTTAAAGAGAGTAAAATCTTTTTAACTGTAAGCTAATGCTTTAAGCCTTTGAGCTCTACCAGACATCTTACAGAAAAATAGCTCTAATCAGTTCAATCTTTTTTCCTTTTGAAGAATTAACTGATTGGGGCAGAAGAAGGGCATTTTCATACACTAAAGGGATGGGAGGATTTTCTCATGCTGTCTTTCGCTCTGCTTATTTCTCCTTGTTTTCATTGGTCTGTCACTTGTATGTTCTATGAGGGAAGCTGGTTTTCTGCCATTTTGAAAAACTGAAGAGAATTAAATGGTATCCAAATGATTTATTAGCATTTTTCTCTAAGTAATTTGCAGTATGATGCAAAATATACAGAGAAAATATACCAGTTGGTGGCATATGCACAAACTGAAAGGAAGTGAATGTGATAGTGCCATTTTCATATGTAAAATTTTGATCAATAAGAGGCCATATGAGGCAGATAGTGATACAGTGGCCTGTAACCTAACCAGAAGAGCAACCAAACACTCTCATCTGGTTTATCCTGTGAAGAGGGGTTAACGCTACAGTGTGAAGAGTTGGGTTATGCTGGCAGCTCCTTGCCAACCTGCATTGACCAGGTCACAGGCTAGAATCAAACTGAACGATCCTTGAAGACAACTTTATATGTGGCACGTTGTGATTATTAATATCAAAACAAACTTATCTGAAAAAGACTAAATTCTGATCTTGACTTATTCATTAATTATTTTAATGATTACTTCATTAATTATTATTCAGGGAGAGTTTTACTATCAACAGCAGTAAAACTTCTTTTACCACCAGCTAAGTCTTTGACACAGGCCACAGAACGAAAACTGTTACCTGCTCTGTTCTTTTGCTGCTTAGTTTGTTTGAATTGTTGATGGTAGCTTAGTATGCATCAACGGGTATAGTTATACAAGTCTTGAAATTCACCCTTTCCTGGCATTCCAGAGAACAGTATCTGCCTCTCATTTAGTATGTGATGACAACTGCTGGGACCCAATTAAAATTTTGTACGGGTGATTTTATGTGGTTCATCATGACCAGACAGATTTTGTTTTCTGCCTTCCTGCATCTTACTCATTGCATTAGAGATTTTGGATAGGACATATTCTGCAAAAGCTTTGCATCAAGAGATCTGCATGAACAAGCAATTGACTCAAATTGTTAAAAAGTTGTGTATATGACTAAAACCTTTTCAGCTACAATGCAAGGGCCTTGATGCCCACACAGCCATCTCTGAAGCCCAGGTAAACTGGTCTGCATGATATACCACGCGTAAGTCTCTTGGAAGGTCTCTCAAAGCAGTGGTTTTGTAGCTCATCCTACCAGCTGATATACACGGCTACAGACTTAAGGAAGTTGTATCTTGTTTCAGTTCAGGAAAAAAAACACTGTACACCTTGGAGAGTCATGGGACCAGAAAGGGAAATATAATTAGAAAAAGAAGGGGTGTGATGACTCAGTAGGCAGTCCCGAATAAAAAGAAATGTGTTTATATTTGTCAGGAATGTACTGAAGGTGTGAGTAGTGAAGTCTTCACGAGAAAAGAAAATATCCATTTGGTAGTCAGCTCTGTAGTAATTTTGTAGTAACTGTACAGTGGCACTGGAAAAATCAATACAAGACATCAAAGCAACATGACTTCTTTTATAAAATCTCATCATAATACTTGTTTTATTCCCAGTGCAAGAGGTGGTCTTCATGAACTGCATTTTGGATGTTTATACTTGCTGCTATGTGAAGGTGTTCAAACTCTTTGCAAACACTAATTCATTATGCTTCATACCTGGCTAATAATGAAAAACGCTTAATGCATTTTAGAAATGGTAAAACTGAGTGTCTGACTAGCTCCTAGCTACCTGGAAAACTACTGCAAGTGTTGAAAGGGGAAACCAGCCATTCTGGCAAGAGTGTCTCTGCTCCCCAAAACTGAGAGATACCAAGTTTTTTTCTAACGTGGAATTTTATCCTAGGCTCACATACTTCAGCAGACTTGGGCTGAAGTAAATTGCACAATTTGCTCTCTTTCCATCTGCTAGGAAGATTCTCCTAATAGGCAGCTGAACTGGAACAGGGAATATTTGCCTTTCTTGCTCAATATTGGTACAGAAAGGAAGTCGAGGTTGGAGCGAGGCACAGCCTTCTGAAGTACTGGCTAACAGAACGTGGCCCTCCAGAATACCCAGGACGTGAATCATTGGGAGGCAAGGAGCAAGCAGATGGTTTATACAGATGAGGAAGTGGGGAGAGTAAAAACTGAGTCTCCCAGCAAAGCTATAGAGTCTGCTTTAAGAGCGAAAAATACTATAGAGTTTCTTCACACCTAGGCTCAGCTCCTTGTCAACCTGCTGTGACCCATTTTTGATTTCAAAACAAAACAAAACAACAAAAAAAAACAGGTTGTTGTTCAGTAAAGCAGTGGCTTTAACTGATGAGATGAGCTATTTCAATTTGTATTCTTTCTTCGGTCTTATTATTTCTTTTTTAACCATCAACAGATTTAATTAGGACTGTGATTGAGAAACCAGTGCTTTCTTCCAGCTGCTGCTTAGTTGAGTTCATGGAAGTAAAAGGCTTTGGTACATTTAAGTCGTGTAGCTGCCTTTCACTTTAAATATTGATGTGAAATGCATTTCTTCTGAATTTGAATTAGTCTCAGCATTAGATCTACATAATTGGAGATGTGGTAACAAAGTGCTAACCATTAGAGCAGCGCAGTAAATATTCTCTGCAGCCTTCAGGACAGTAATTTCCCCTGCTCCCTCCTGCACCTTAAATTTCTTTTTTCCTTCCTTCCTTCCCTCATGGACACTGCATCTGAGTTTCTTGCCTTCAGGTTTCTTGGCCTCTTGCAGTCATGGTGCATTTGCTGATCCTTCTGTGTGTCCTGTTTTTGCTGGGAGAGTCAGAGAATCAATTTTCTGTTCAGAAAAGCTACAATTCTAAAATAAGCTGCATTTTTAAGAAGACTGCAGCACCGGGTTCAGTGACAACAAGTTGATAAGAACTTTGTTTTAGTTTGTAGCCAACCATGCCATAGTGATCAACGACTTTTTTCAGCTTGTTTTTGCTGACAATCCAGATGTCCAAGAACCTGAGGGGAGCGTAGCCAGGGCATTTGACTCCTAAATTGGCAAATGGGTCTTCCATACCATGTAACATCATGCTTACTATAAATTGGAAAGTTTTTTGGGGATGGCCTCTCTCTCTTTCTCAATGGTCACCATCCCTGGAGGGTCTCGCCCATCATTCTGCTCCCAAGACCTACTCTCTCTCTTCCGGGATTGCAGTTTTGGGATTTTCTTGCTCCAGGATCGCTAGCCGGGAGCAGGCTGGATATTGGTCAAGAGATGGTGAGCAATTGGACTGTACCTTACTTGTCTGTATATATTGTTATTATTACCGTTATTGTTTTCCATTTTATTTTATTTCAATTATTAAATAGTTCTTCTCTCAGCCCATGGGTCTTCCTTCCTCTTCCCGATTCCCTTTCTTGAGTGGGGAGAGATCATCGGGTAACAGAACAGCTGGCTGGTGTTTAGCCCCAGATACAGGCTAAATGTAGACACTATGATATTGTGGTGGGTGAGAACTACAGTTGTCTTCTATCCACGTAGTCAATGACCAGGTATTTGCTTATATCTGTATCATCTGCATCAGCAGTGTCAAGCCCATTTCTGCCAAAATAAATGAGCTGTAGCAGTCATTGTTAGTGCTGTTAAATTAGATTTATTATAACCACGAAGTAACATGAGCAAGTGTAGGTGAACATTATGTACTTACCCTGAATGTAAACTCTTCCGAAATCATGAGGAGGGTTTGGTACAATATGTACCAATTCTGCTACTGTCCTGGGAAGCGATGTTCTCTGCCCCTCATCCCCAGTATATCTGAATACTTTTATAGGGACTAAGGCTCTAATAGGCCAGAATAACTTTGAAAATGGTACTTGAGCTCCAGTGTTATTTAAGCAGTTTTAAAGATTCGATCCCATCATGTTTCTCTCTAGAAGATGAGCTGCTTTCCTCCCACTCTACCAGGCAGCTCTTCTCTCAACCCCCCGAGACGAAGCAGGAGTTAACACACTTGTGTTTTCCAGATCTTGTTCATATTTGTCAGCCATACACACTTTTAAAAAGTGTTTTCCTTGTTTCTACTATGTGTTTTCATTGCCTTGAGGTAATTCGTTACTAATGCAGATTAATCCTTCAATAAATTATAGTCAATTAGTTATCTGGCTTCTAAATCTCCCCTCTGCCCTCCTTCCTAAACTAGCATGACAGTTTCACAGTTACAGTTTTCATATGTTTTCTTATATTTTTCTTATGGTATTGCTACATTTAACCTGGGGAAAGGGAAGAGTCAGGCTGTGGGACAGTCTGACACAGGTTTTGGTAATGAAAGGATCCTTTTCTGCACAAATATACTTCCTGAGAGCAGTGAAGCTACTTCTGTGATAAGATACAAAAACTATACAAGGTTTGTAGAGTCCATCCTGCCTTAACAGGTATTTAATTACAGCAATGAATATTAATTAGTGGGTACTTATAGTAGAAGAGCTTCAAAGCCTGAGTCACAGACATAAGAAAGTATCAGTTCTCCTTACCCTCAATGGATATTGTCCTCCTTTGTGCCCAGGCTGAATTATGTTCTTGGTGTCTTTCTGTTTGGTGATGCATAACCTTCATCATCCCTTAGTCAGAGGAACCAGCTGTCACTCATATCACTACGAAACACTGTGGCAAAAGCTGTGTGAAAGACTTGGCATTGAATCCGTATTAGTTGAGCTTTTTATATTTTTTTTGTTACAAATGTGAAATTCCTGTCAAATTTATTGAAAGCGCTAATCTGTTTCAAAGGAACCATAACTGATTGATGTTTTCATGTGTGAGTTAGGCAAATAATTGATGATGATCGCTGAGTTTTGCTTTGAGATTTGGGTTCAGTTAAATGTGACACTTGCAAAATTCATCACTGAATACAGCCAGGGGAACCAAAGTGGGAAAGAAAAAAACATGCTCAAATGCCTTGAGAACATGGGGTTTATGCATGTTTCCCATGCAAAGTATAGTAGTGGCATCTCTACGTGGTGCAAATATACAACCAAAAGGTGGTTCGACTCAAGCTAAAAAGATGGGGAGTGGCATGTTGAACTCATTTTCCTTGAACCACAGTCCATGCCAAACACCTAAGAACAGCTGTACCCATTCACACTAAGGGTCCCTTCAGCCACATATGTCATCTCCAGCATTGGCCATAAAACATGTGCTGGAGGCAACAGCATATATGACACTTCTTCCCAAACATACCAAAACTTGACCCCAAGTGTCAATGTAAACAGTTTCTAACAAGACTCTTGAACAAAAAAGTCATTATGGTCCTTCATGTTCTACATAATCCAGACTTGCTGTTTCATTTTTTTTCTGAAGTACAGCTTGTTGGACCATTTCTTTTCCTCAAGTTTTCAGTTGTGTTGAAATAGAAGGTGAGTGTGGTGTCTATTGGCTATGCAGACCATCTCAATGCTCATTTGATTTACCATTTTGTTGTTACTCCACAGTTTGAGATGCTGACAGGATCATTACCCTTCCAGGGAAAAGACAGAAAGGAGACAATGGCACTCATTCTCAAGTGAGTATTGAGATGGCTTTCGTTCCTCTAGCTATGAGTTAACTGTATCCTCCAGGCAGACTATAGGTCCTAAGAATATGAAGGGGAGAGAATAATAATGTACATAATGCGTTTTTCAAAGCTATGTAGGGCATGAATTTGGTAAGGCGTGCACAGCTGATGCCTGCATGTGTCTCTAAAATTGCCTTCAGAATAAATAGTAGGAAGTGAATTACTGAGAGGTCCTTACAAAAGAAATATATCTTTCTTTCTGTAATAAAGAATGTCATTATCCACACAGAAATAGGAACAGTCAGATTTCTGCAGGACAGCTTATGTTTTGTTGTTGCCAAGTTTCAGATCTTTTCCTTTACAAATTTCCTGTTCATTTAATGGACTGTTAAGTGCAGACATAAGTATTCAAAGCTTATCTATGCTCAATATTACATTTTTTCTGTGTAGCAGTGAATTGCCAAGGGAAAAGTTTTATTCTCTTTAATATGTGTTTTAGTATAATTATTTTCATGAAGTTTGGTTTGTTTGTTTAAATTCCTCCTGATTCCCAAATTTATTCCAGCAAGCTGAAAAAGTGAAAAAAATTCTGTAGGAAAATGACCTATTTAAGTTGCAAAAGAGGTTATGAAATTCATTAGATCTACTCTATCTCTAGTGAAGCCAGTGGTAAAACCTTCTTTAACTTCAATAGAGCAAGATCAGGTCCTCACTCTATATTGTTTTATGCTTAAGTAGCCTTTGGTCACCAAATTCATGCGTCTGCCTGTCCTGACTACTACAGTTTAGCTTTTTAAACCACAATGGGATAGAGAAAATTTTTGAAAAGTCTATTTTCTTTTCAAGTGTTGTGTTCTTTCAGAGCCAAGCTGGGAATGCCGCAGTTCTTGAGCATAGAAGCCCAGAGCCTGCTGCGAGCCCTCTTCAAAAGGAACCCCTCCAACAGATTAGGTACGCATGTGCGCATTTGATGGGGGCATTTGTTATGTCGCTCTGCCTTGTCAGGTGGTGATCGTTTCTCTTGGTGCATCTTCCCTGATAGTTATCCTCTTCATTATGTGGCATTTTGCATTCCTTCCCAGAGCATAGTGAACCTTGAGTGTTGCTAGAGAAATTTGTGAAGAGCACAGGTGAACCACTTGAATCTAAAACATTATATTAGCTTGTATTTTATTTTTTCGATAAAGAGGGAGAGTAAACCACCAGCATTTATTAAGTGTTTAAGATAACTGCTGCATATGATTATATAGGGAACTGAGAAACAGGTATGTTTTTAATTCTGTATAATTTAGCTGCAAATCTGAGGTGGAGCACAAAAGGGAGTAGAATTTTTCTCTCATTTTCTCAAATACGTTTTGATGCTGTCTCATTCTCTTTGCTGGGAGCATTTCCACAGTAGGCTTTCTTCTTTATTACCCTAAATGTATTATCTCCTTTCTTACTAATGTGTTTTCAACCTTTGTTAATAATCCTATTTAAATTGTGATAAACTAGAAGGATGTGTTGGATCATGTGTCTTATGCCATCTGTACCTTTGTTTGAGAGTTTTATTAAGAAATTCATTGCATTTGGCGAGATCATGGATGATGCCTGGTGCATGATTTTCGTTGCAAATTTAGTCTTCAGTTTTTATGTGGAAAAATAAATATAGTCGTATCAAGTGAATGATATGAAGATAATAGCACTGTATTATTTTTCATTTAAAGATCATATCTGGTTCTGTGAAAAATTTTGGAAGTTTCTTTTTTCCCCACAGCTCTTATATTCTGCATTTTGAGTGAACAAGGGAAGAATTTGCTTCTACAGGAAAGGAACAAACCATTTCTTCGAACCTCCATTGGGTTTTTTGTGACCTTAAGAGCAGGAATTGACCTTAGGAGCAGGAATTTAATTCTTTAATTCTGTGAACTGTATCACAAGAAGAGAACTGATAGGTCATATTTAAATATGTGGTTGATTGTCAGTGCCATTCATGAGAGTTTTGGTAGCTGATAAATGACTTGTCTTTTAGAGAATGGCATAGACTAATTAAATATTGAGACCTGTGAAAAGCAATTTGCTGTTCTCTCTTGTAACTGTTTACTCTTGTAAGATTATTTCAGATTGGAGATACAAAGTTAGAAGCAAAAAGCTAAATTAGGAAACTGCTTGTTCTGAGATGTGGAAAGCGCAAGAGGGGTTTCTCCCTTTCCTTCTTGCAGTACCCACACTCACGTCTCCAATGCTGGAGATAGTGCTGCTGAAGGTCTGCTGCACAGTGCTTTTAGTCCTCTGCGTAGCAGTCACAGCACTAGCAGTCAGACAGGCAGGAGAACGCAAAACACTTGCCAGCCCACTTCCACCACCACCTGCCTGAATGGCCTCTGCAGTTTCTGATAGGCACACGTGGGTTTGCACGCACACGTGTGCAAGATGGACACTCTGCTCTGTGCGCTTGAGCTTCTGCTTGACTTTTCGATACTCTGGTAGCTCTGTCCTTTGCTTCTGGTGGGGCAGTGTGTGGGTTACTCCAGCCTTCTGCTTTATACTGAGCAACATCAGACTTGTCATATTTTAGGTGAATGCATGTCTTCTGCCTGGCTGCAGCAACTCAGCTGGATCCCCCACCTCAAGCAGAGGTCAGACACGGTGGCTCAGCTGTTTTCCGAGAGAGCCTGGCTACTACAAGGACAGTATGGAGAAGGCTGCCTCTCGCTGTGACTGCTGGGAAGAGCAGGAGCCAAGAGCCCTTGCTCTAGACAGACACCAGGAGACAACCCAGCCTCCCTCAAGGATGGGCAGCGATGGGGAGCCAGCCTCTCAGTGACCTGCTACAGCCCCTGTCCTCCCAGGGGGACACCCACACAGCACGCGAAGGGAATGCCCTCCCATAGATTTTACCTCTTGTAGTCTGATACGCAGTAGAGATGACAGTGGAAAAACACATTTTCTCAGCAGGTTTCAACTGCTCTCAAGCAATTTGCTTGACATTAGAGAAAATTAGATAACTGGGTATTCTACGTTTTAGCTATGTTCAGAAAATAAGATGCTACAGCAAATATAAACTTTTCCCCACTCCACCCCTCTGTTCCCTTCTGCTGTTTCCTCCCTGTCTTCCTTCTCTTGGTTTTGTTCTGCTCTACTCGTTTTGTGGCTTCCCACAAGCTGCTATCCGTCCAAACCGGGGCTTCAGTAAAGTCAGTGGGAGTTTCTGGATACTGATCCTTAAATAGAAAACTGCTCACTAAAATAAGCAAAGTTGCTTAGTTTTAGCCATGACAGTTCTAGCCCCCATATCGTCTCCCTTTTAACAATGGGGAATTGCTAAGGGTCAAGATTTTAAACCTGAGGTTTATTGAAATACTGGGAAAGCTGGGAGAAAGAAAGAGTTTATTTATAACACAAATATCCAAGGAAATAAAATCTAAGAGAGTAACAGAAAAATAGATCTTAGCATTTCGGGGATAGCAGTGGAAAGCTTCTGAAGGCTCTCTGTTTTAACTTATTGAGAATCAGCATGAAGGACAATGACAACAGGCTTGTTGGTAATGAAAGAAGGAATACTTAAATGGTTGGCCTAAATACTGAACAGAAGTCAGTAGATAAAAGAACTGCTTCAGCTTTGTGGATTTTGGCTTTTTCTGGGAAAGAAATAATAATCTGAAGTTAAAAGAAAAGTAGACTTAGACATCCGGTTTTGAAAAATCTTTGGAAGACTAATGAAACGTGCTAAAAAAAATGAACGGTATTATGGATCAAACACTTGTTTTCAGCCATTGTTTCAGAAATTTGCAAATCTGGAAAGTGTATTTAGTTCTTAAGTGGTTTTAATATTAGCAAGATGAAAGATGCTGCGCTTCGGAAATAATTTTGTTCTGACTACCATTTTGCTTTTTGCCATTTAATTTTGATATCTTAACAAACAGAAGTAAAGATTGAAGATGTGTTCTAACAATTTGCTTTGAAACTTTGTTTTGAAGCTTTAGATTATTAATGGAAAAAAAAATAATAAGAGTTGAAGGGAGATACTCAGACAAGGCAGAGAAAGGATTCTGTTTACCTTGTCCTATTTTTAAGTCTGGTGCCTGTATTAATGCTTTAGAACAAATTTTTAAGTAATGGAAAAGTCTTCCTTCCTTTGGCATCCCTTGTTATGGGTGCTGTCTGTTGTTTTCTGAGCCTATACACTCTGCTGTGCAAATAGTCTGCATAACACTGCTTTAGTAGTATTGCTCTGATTAAGTACAACAAATTTCAGATTATGGACAAGCATAATTTAAAATTCTTAAAGAAATTAACTGGAATATCCAGGCAAACAAGGAGTAAGCATCTTGGAAAGTAAATTGTATGATGAACTTGTTAGTTCATTGCATTGCATGGAACTTAGGAAAGGAACTAAATCTTGCTTGCCCTAAGGCCTGGGTCTACTCAGGTAGGTAAATGAATGTAAAGAGCATTTCAGGAACTCCCTGCACTGCTGACCAGTATAAAGGTTCCAGAGTCCTTATAACTGAGAAGCTTGGCCAAGAAAGTACAGAGTAAAAGCATGCACCAGTAGATTCAGAGTAAAAGCCAAAGAAATAGTTACTATTTCCTTAATCCCATGTTCTCGGAGAAGATACATTCTGCTTTGACACATAGAAAACTTTGTTTTTCAATTTTATGAGATGATGACTTTTAAAAAACAAGTTTCGCCTTTGTGAGAGTGACTGCACGTCTTTCTTGTAAACTTTAGGAATGCATTTTTAAAAAGCTAGCCCACTACAAAGATTCTGAAGCTGTGGAGATAGCTGATGGCAAATTTTATCATCTGAAACCAAAAATCTGGAAACTCTTTCTGCTCATTTTGAATATCCAAATAATCAGCTTTCATATTTCATGTATTTCAAGGCTCACATTGTCCATAATGATTCAACAATCAAAACCAATTACAGATAAAACATTGTACTGTTACTGCTTGCAGACATTTTTATTACAGATATAAAACAATCTTAGATAATCAAGTTCTTACTTATTAACATGAGGCTGCTTTTATATAAATCCTTGCACTCTATAATGTATTTAAACTGGCAATTTGTTCTGAAAGCATTATTTATCTTATCGGACCCTTGTGGGCCTGGATGGACACATAGGAATATTTGCAGGCATTAGGTTTTATTGTGCTTATTATTCTTTACAGATAGGATAAAAAAAAAAAAACTAGAAGCCTAGAGAAGGCGAAAGGTTTGAGGTCATTTGATGTGTCATGTGCTGCACTTCAGCAGTTTGCTAAATACAAATCTCTATGCCAAGAAATGTCTATCCCCATGGACAAGAACTTTCCAGTTACAACCTCTCCAGTGCTTGTCTTTTCTCTGTTGAAGCACATCTCTTTCCAGTACCACTTTAGATTTGCAGATGGTAGATGAATGGCTGAAACATGCTGAGCAAATCCAGAGAGACTCCACCATAAGCGCCAGTACCTAACGTCTCCCATGGACTTCTGCAGCGGGGTCAGGATTCCCCCTCCGGGCTCCCAGAGCTGTCTCTGAACGTACCCTTGGGCCACCTCCCTCCTCCATTTGAGGAGAGGACCAAGCCACACGCTGCTGCCTGCAGCCGCAGCACACAGCCTGAGAGGGAGCCATGGGCTATGTCAGCAGGTCTCATGCTGGGGAAGGTCAGGGAATGAAAAATGCAGGAAGAGCTGAACCTTCTCCATAGCATAAAATCAGTTGCTGGGAATTGGAAGTCCTTCACTCTTTGCAAAATTAGGCTATTACCATCTTAAATCTCTTTAGTACATTACGCTAACCAGAGATGGCATCAGGCCCTGGCACACCTGACAAAGTATTCCTTCTGTGCCAGAGCTCTGAGGTGTTCTCAAGTGGTAAATGCTGATTTTTCTAACAAATGCCCATGTCAACTGCATGTTGCATTCCTTACTGCACACTGCAATCCCCTACTAAGAGAAGTAGTTATGAGTGAGCTTTTTCTTTGGTCCTGATTTCTATGATTTTGTGGAAAAAAGAACAGTAGCAAAAAGTGTGGTTTTCAAATAGATCGTCGGAAAAAGGTGGGTCATTCCCACCACACAATGATGTATCCATAAGTCTACAAAAGAGGGAAAAGGGAAACAGTGAGGAAGGGACAGAGCAGAGAAGGTTGAATGCGTTAGCAGTTATTCTCAGTCTAGAGAATGTTAACAGTAGCTTATAGTGTCTGTATCATTTATTCCAGTCCTTCGAAATCAGTTTGACTCTTGGGTTTCATCATATGTACCAAAGAACGTCTAATGCACATTAAAAAGTTTCCAGTCATCGCCACTGAACACAAAACATTTTTCACAGATATTTCTTCTCTGAAGGATTGGATAATGTAATTCTCTTCAGAGTAACTGTGTTGGTTTCATGTTTCTGTTGGCATTGCTAAAATTGGAATGAATCTGCCAAGGGTATCTAGTGCAGACTTTAGACCGTGCATTGAAAAAACGTGATAGGGAAGACATAGAACAAGTCTTATTACTATCTAAGTCTTAGTATTTTCTTGTTCAGTACCCATGGGCTATAAACAACTGCCTAGGGAACAGTAAGAATAGGGTAAGCATATGTGGATACTTCACCCAAATTCTCTCCCAGTCAACATCCGCTTTAAGGTCAAGCAGGGGGTTTCCTGAACCTCTTGTGGTTTGTTGATGAAGTAATCTTCAACAGATTTATTTTCAACATACTTTTCTGGCCTCCCAGTTCAAGTTGTAGGTGTACAACAGACTTATAACAGTGACAATGTAGTGATGTTCCCCATTTTGTCCTCTCTTCTCTTTCTAAGATTTGATTTCACTTTGTGTTTGCCTAGAACTGTCTGTCCATCACAAACCAAAGACCTCACTCCTCAGTGGGCTTGATCACCTCCGTGCACATAATTTTGCGTGGCGGGCTAGTATTGTTTATCCTCATGTACATCACTTACATTTGTCTATATTGTAAGATTACCAGGATGGGGAAGTAGTCAGCCTAACATTTCTCTTGCATTATTATCCAGCAGGCCTGACAGGCAGTCCTGCATGTTATGTTCACAAAATTTTGCTTTTTGTATCCATTCATCAGTGAATACTAAGCAGGCTGTGGGAAGCCATTCCTTATCAGTGCATTTTGGTAAACATCAGTAATGTCTTGTGTACAAAGAAAGCAGATGTCACATTCTACAAAAGCTTGAGTTGACAAGACCTTTCTAAAACTGCTTGTAATGTTGATCTCCAGAAAGTACAAGCACTGCATATAAAAAACTGAGTCCTCTGAAGTGCCGAGTGCCTTTTGCAATGTGCTTATGAATCCCACGTCCTTTTGGGAATCAGGCATGCTCAGAATTTTTGTAAAGAAGTTCTGTGTACCTTTCAGGAACTGGTTCCAAAATTGCCATGCAAAGCCTTTGTTTCCAGATGTTATTTCTCCTACTGGAAAATGAAAGATGCTATTAATAAAGTCAATTCAACCTGCAAAATGGCAAGCTAAATCATCTCTGACAATTTTTTAATTATTACCTCAGCACCTGTTGCTTTTTGCAATGGCACTGAAGCAAAAAAATTGAACTAAAGGAATAAAAAAGATGATCTTCACTGAAGACGTAATGCAAAAGTAATGAAGGAATTAGATTCACTACCAGATCTCAGAAGAGTTTCCTTAAATTTCCTATAAAGTAATGTAACAGAAATTTAACAGTGAAGGAAACATACCACTGAGAATCATGATTTTGGTACTCACACAAATTTGAAGAATGTACTTGAAAAGAGGGAACCTAAAACTGGCTTACAGCAAATCATTCAGAGCTCTTTGGTATTTTGAGTCTGAACTTATTTGTAGCACAGCTTTCCCTGCCCGCGGAGAACGGGTAATTAGATAAGATTTGAAAGTCAGTGAAGACAGAAGACCTGCCCCTGGTGGCAGGAAGCAGCAGTAGCCTTGCCATAGTATCAGGACATCCTGGGGCATCTCCTGGCCACGCTGGTTCGTGCACTCTGCTGCAGCTGAAATCCTATGTCTCATCTGAAGCCTGAAGAGATTAGCTATTCAGCCTTGGTGCCAGCCTCAATTAGAGAAAGTAAAAAACCCTCCACCATCAGATTTTCATTAATGAAGTCTCCTTGTCTGTATTTATGGTAGTTTATACTGTTTGGCAGTTGCACCGTTTGGGGTTTCTTGACTAGAAGAAATGTTTAGATGATGACTCTGACTTTGTCAAAAGAAAAGAGGAGACAGGGAGGAAGGCTGGAGAAGAGATGTCATGCAGCACTCTTCTAAGCATAACTTAATTTTGACTCTTTCATTCTCTTGTCAGGTGCTGGATTCGATGGAGTGGAAGAAATTAAACGTCACCCTTTCTTTCTTACTATAGACTGGAATGTAAGTGGAGCAGCATTTTATTTTTTTTCATTATTATTTCTTTTCTTAGCTCAATTTTTGAGGACAAACTGCCACACTTAGAAAAAAGATGAAGTGAACTCTAACATAGAGAATCTAGGAGCTGGAGCCTTTTGAGTGAGCGCCTATGTCTCTTGCATACATATTTTGCAATATTAGGCTTACTGTTGGACTCGACGAGCTTAAAGGTCTTTTCCAACCTAAATGATTTTATGATTCTATGATTCTATATGTACATTTGTTCACATACCCACAAATGAAAGAAATAGAAAGTTGCTTTCAGCTTCGACAGTTTTTTCTAACTGCTTGTCTCTGTTTTGTCTGATGATCTGGCTTATCATGGTGCTACCTGAGGCAATTTGCAACATTCTGCAGAATAATTTCCACATTCAGCTCTAATAAACATGATGCATTGATTGTAGGAGCTGGACTGGAGCGAAAACGAGCAGCTTTAAATGAAAGAATTTCTGTAATATTTCAATTGAAAAAGAAAACAGAGCCAAAGGACTGGGCTTGAAAGAGATATTCTACAGGGAAGCGGTCTGATGCTCTAGGTTCCTCGATGTGTCTACTTTTATGTTCCATATTGGAATACTTGTTCCTTCTCACTGGGTTGGGCAAGCTGAACTAAATGTTAGGTTTATTCTTTCTGATGTCAGGGACCTCCAGGAATCCTTTTCGCTCTTGGAATTATTCAAACCATCCTCAGGCCTGCTCTTACACGTCTGCCAACAGTAGCTCCAAGGAGCTCCAAGACCTCCAGGCGCAGCCTTTTCCCAAACACAGCATGGTGCTACTGGGACTGTCTGGGCATCTGTAGAGCTGGTATAGCAGGCTGTACAGCAGGTTGTGCTACTTTATGCTGGGGGAATCATAAATCTTCCAACAGGATAGCTTTGTTGACTTCTTCTTGTCACTTTTGGCCTAAGTGACCACAGGACAAGATCTAGCCCTTCCACTATATCCACTAGGCCTAGCACAACATCAATGGATTTTCAGAAGAGTGATTTTACATCACTGAGTATATAAGTCAACCAGCCAGAACAGGAAACAGCAACTCCTCTTACAAGTGGTTGATGTTTTATTGAGGTGAGTCATTAATTTAACATCAGCACTCAAAATTGGAACAACAAACATTTGTCAAATGTAACAGAGTTCAAATAAGACATGTCAGACATGATTCACCGAATGGTAAACAAGGATTTTATTTTATTGCTATCAGCTACAGCTCATAAAGCTGGTGGTAGAGATTAGCTAAGTATTTGATTTAGACTTGCAAGAGGTTAAACTTTCTCACATTTTCAGCGTCATATTTGTTTGAATCAACTTATTTTTAGACAAACCTGGAGGCAAGCACTTTTCATTCTCGATCTGGACATCTGCCAGCACAACACAGCTCCTGTTTGCCATATCCTCTAGAATTTTCCAGTTTAATTTTATCTAACCTGTATTATGGTATTGTTAAGTCTCTTTAATATTTGATCTGAATTTACTCATGAATGCTAGTGTAACAGATCACATTGATGCAGTTCTCACTATAAGTTCTGGTAAAACAGCATAAATGTATGTGGCAGTCATTCTCAAGCCACCGCCTGGGGCTTTACAGTAAAGCTAATTCCTCTGAAAGCACATTTTGTGGTGGCCCAGGTGGCCTTTGAAAGGCCCACAGAATCATTTATGTTGGAAAACTTCATGAATCTAATTTGAGTTGCATGTTGAAGAGTTGGTATCATTCATAAGCATGTTAAGAGACGATCAATGAATGTGAAATTTGCAATTTTTCTTCATGGCTCAGCTGACTTTTAGTCCCATTACATATGTTGCGGAGTCGAGATTCTCTTTGCTCTTCTGCTTCTTACTAATCCCGAGATTCTGTATGAAGACTTTACAGTTTTGAAAACATTAAGTGAAAAGAAAAAATAGAGAATCCTGAAGAGTTGGGTTCATTATTATTTTTTGTATTCCTCTGATATCTCCACAGTCCTGAGCTTTGCAATCTAAATACAGATCAGGCACACATATCTTAACATAATAAGGAGCACTGAAGCAGTGAGAGGGTTTCTGTTTGCTAGTGGAGTAGCTCAGTAGCTCATCACGGAGAAATGAGGCTCTGCATCTTAGAAAGGTTTTCAGCAATGTTAGTTCTGGCCTGTGAGACTCTTCAAGACCACCATCTCTAATGATGATTGGTGATTGTGTCAAGCTCCATTCTTTAGGGAACAATTTCACGCCTGTCCTAAGGAAATTGTACAGTCCTCCATCATTTGAGAAAGTTCTTATGGATGGATTAGGGAAATACATACCATGAAGAGGATAGGTACGCATGAACGTGACTCAGAGCTAGAGAGGAAGGTGGGTTTAATTGCCTTTTGATGTCTTTTCTAGCCCTGTAACTTTGCTGTAAAGTGTAGCTACAAAATCCATTTGAATCCAACATAATTAGTGCTCTCTTGGAGATAGACGGATCATTATGATGCAAATCAGCTATCGTCTTTGTAATATATTTGCTTATTTAATCCTAATTTTACTATCACTCATGGAGATCTTGGGAAGCTTATCTAGTTACAGCAGCAGAACTGTATGCATTTCAGAGTGGTGTGAGCCAGCCTGGGCCTGAGCTGAAGCCAGGACTTTGCCTTTTGATGATCATCCAACCAACTATTAACATGTTCTCCATGGAGAGAAAAAGAGCAGGGTCAGAGAACAGAAATGGATCAGGCACAGATGTTTAGTGCTGGTCTCTGTACTGTTGCAGAAAAAAGAGTCTCTGGTGCCCTCACTTTGTTCTTGCATCCCATATACAGAATCCGTCACATCAATTTGCAAGCAGTCAGCAAACGACATTGTAGAGGCAGGACATGAATGTTGATTTATTTTATACCTTAGTAATCCAAAGACCTCAGAGAGCAAGAGGCGATCTATCTTGGAGAGCTTCTGAACTACCTTGGCAACTATGATAGACAGGACTGCTGCACAGAAACTTTCAGCAACTGCAGGAAAATGACCCTCTATCAAGAGCCCCCTTATCATGAAGGATCAGAATGGATTAGTGTCTTCTAGAAACCCAGTGCAAAACAGGTCTTTTCTAAGCAAGATTTTTCCTACAAGAGTGACGTGATAATCAAGAACAAACTACGCAGTTGCTTTGTCTCAGTTTAAAAGATCAGGAATGAGCTGCTTCCTTCCAATTTGTGTGTCAAGTCTAGATATTGCAGTGATGAAGTCATTAGAATTGCAGGCAGGAATGTATAAATCAGATCTTCACGTCAGAGTACTGTCAGAGCTGTTCCCTTGGGGTTTGGATTGGGGCTTGGTTATTGTCTCTATTGCTGAAGTGTTTACCTGTTGATGCAGTCATTTCCCACTTGTTTCCCAAGTCTGACTTCAAACAGACACAACCAGACAGCACCTGATTCGGGTGAAGGTAGCGAACACAGTGGAAACAACATTTGTGGTGTAAAAAAGCCCCCTGTTACGATGCTGCAGATGCTCATGCCAAGCACAGCCGTGCTGATAGCCTATGACCACTGCGATAGGTGCAACCCTGGAAAACGTGAGTGTGGCCAGAGAACGACCATCCTCCTCCCATCCTTTTCCACAGCTGCTTTATGTTATTCCCATGTTCCAGGGTGCTGTTCTTCAGTGTGTAAGTAGCACTAAATGAACTGTGGACAATCTGATACAGAGATTTTTATGCCCATACTTAAATTGTGGCATGAGCTAATCTCTGAACAAGTCTCATCTTTACAGCTATTGTCAATCAGTAACAAAATCCTAAATTCCCACTTCCCAGGGTGAAAAAGAGATGAAGGTTTCTGCAAGTATCAGTCTTACTGCTCTAAGGCATTTAGTAGGCACTGCAACAAAAATTCAGTAGATCCTTTGTTAAATGGACTGTTTTTCATGACCAAGGTTGGGATTCACAGGAAGGAGATTAAATGTTGAGCTCCTTCTGAGTTTTACCTGCTTAATATCCTTGCACCCCCTTTTCTCCTTAAGACAAGCAGACCCACACCGAGTTGACCTCAGATAATTTCAGTCATTGGCTCTGAGAAAGCACAGGCTGGTTCCTGATTTTTGATTAGTTTCTTCTTTCCAGGTCATGCATAAAGAATTTCTGGCTTTTCATTGGAAGTGAAAAATGAAATCCTTTTTTGCAGACTTCAGTCGGAGGAGTAGGCTATAAACAGTAGTTTTTGTTTAGATAACAGGCTAAATTGGAACTAGAGCACATGACATGCTAGAAAATGAACTGTCAAATACAGCTGAGAGAAGGAGTGAGAAGAAAGTGGACTCAAGTTCTATTTTCTTCAATATTAATCAGAGATCAAACTGAACTGAAAATGTGAATTACTTAATTGCAGATTTTACCAACAGCAAAAATTGACCCCATGGTCTGAATTCTGCTAGTTTTTCTACCATTTGCAGGCAATAACATTGAGCCATTAATCTAGGAGAGGACAAGCATTTTAGAAGGTAGTTCATCCTTTTGTCTGCTTATTGGATTTTCCATGACAGGTCTATGTATCAAGGGAGTTTATTCTCACACTACAAGCGCGTTACTGTGGAGGGTAGCATCTTTGTATTTCTAGAAGGTGTCTAAGAAATAATTCAGTTCTTCATCAAAGAAACTCAGCTGAGGAAATTACTAAATATTTTTTAATTAAATTAAACTATTTTCTTTTTCTTGATATTTACCAGGCACATGCACACGACCTTTTAATCTCTGGGGTTTTTTTAGAAGTGCAGTTTTTTAAAGATGATGAAAAATTAACTGCGTATAAATAACAAGAGACAGACGCATGTCACAGCATTATGTTACTAGTTTTCCTGGCGTATTGCTTGAGTTCCGGCTGACGAGCTGTTCAGATGAAGCTCCTCTGGCAACATACATTAAGAAAAGGCCACTGGGATCCAGGGCAAAATTAGTTATTTTTTTTTAAAAAAGGTTTTTGTCCCAAATCAGAAAGGAAGTTGACAGAAGCTCATAGTTTCTCAAACTGCTATGGAACTGGGTTCTAATTAATTCGTAGGTACTTATAAATCTGAAGGTACTGATTATCAAAGTCTCAGAAGGATGGGAGGGATTGATAAGTAGAGAGAAGCATGGATATGTATCCTAGTGTGAATATCTAAATCAATACTTTCACACCTTGGAGTTCATCCCTCTCATTCTGTGGATTATGCACTCTCTCCACACAGCCTCTGAATCCAATAGCCGTGCATGATGCACAGTGATTCCTGATACCTGTCAGTCACATTTTTCTGTGATAAGTCAATGCTGTGGCCAGTTTAAAAATGGGGGTGAGATGTACGAAGTTAATCTTTACTGGGAAAGAGAGATAAATTACATTCTCAATAAAACATTAAGGCCTGAGGAATATATTTCTCCTTTATGGATATGGAAGCAATGTGGAAGAAAAAAAAATTCTTCAGCTTTTTATACTGGTGCAAAATAACACCCAACCTGAAATTTAAATGTTCTAGATAGCACTAACATATCCACAATCTCTTTCGAATACCTAATAAAATGCCCCAAAATAATAATTCGGATATGAAAACTGGGATTTAAACTAGCACAACTGGGACTGTGTTCCTATTAAAATAGGTGGTGGAACTCTGCGTATAGAGCCAGGATTACCATGACTTGGGATGTACACAACTGTTTAAACTTTACCAGAAGTTATATGACAGACTGATAGAAATGATCAAAGACAAGATTTAAATTTTAACTTGCTATGTCATTTGCCACTCTGGTTGGTTTCTGTTGAAAGAGATCAAGGTGATCTATCAACCTCAAATAATTTTGGGACCACAGTAAGAGATAAGAGGCTAATACATTTCACCTAAAATTAGAAATGTTTTTGAAAAATCCAGAAGGATCTTAAATCCTCCAAGAGATTTATTCTCTATGTGTATAGAAAACAACAACTGTGATTCTTACTGCTTACATCAGCTTGTGTCACGTTGTGTTTTGCAGTCTACAGGATGCGGGTTTTTAAAGGAAGAAGCATTCTGCCTGCAGCAAGCCTTCATGTTTAACTGTGTTGGGCTGCCCTGTGGTTTAGTTTGTTTCAGTGAATTGGCTTTGGTTGCAAAGGCTCACTCAGAGAATGGGAACCAGTGTGGGATGGGAAAGCCCACAGATGACACTCCTCCGCTTGTTCTTGTTCCTCAAAGATTTCTTTTAGTTACTCGATTCAAGAGCTTGGGGAAAAAAATTGTTTTAGACAGTTTACCTTTTGCTGTTCCCAGTTGTCTAGTCAGAAACACCAGAAATAATTTTTATCACGATGGGAAAAGGAAATGGAAAAGGGAGTCATCCGGGCTGCACTCAGAGGAGGTGCCTTTCATTCGCACAAGCAGCTTCTTTGTTTCCATCCCCTCCCAGCAAGCGAATTTGTGATTACACATCTTTAGGTGGCGTGTGACTCATGATGAATCTTAAATCCCTCCTAGTAGTGGAGGATGTGGGTTAGGGATTCAAAATACAAATGTAGCTCCAACAGCACTTAAGAAACTACAGATGGGGGGAGGAATTAAGAAGCCAGGGAGAATATGGTTACGATAATCAAAAGAGAGTGCAGTTCCCAAATGATGTACGACTCTAATACGTTTTCCAATTTTTGGACCTCACAGGATGAGGGGTGCATTTAATTCAGGGAGGAAGCATGTGCCTGTGACCATATTGCTTTCTGCAGTTGTGAATTAAGACAAATAAAGGGAAGCTGGAAGCAAATAGCTTTCTCAAGGTGAAATCCTAGCAACAGAAAAACCTTCAGTAGGTACTGAGTTCTCTTTTAAAGTTCTGTGCAGACAGAAAAAGATATATGTTAATTACGAGGTTGATACTTTTCAGTTAATGAGTGACACTTCCTGCTTAAGATTGCAGTTGGCTTTTAATTATTTGGAAGACTGGCTTTCCATTGTGGCTCACAGCAATTATTCATCTTTTTTTCTCTCAGAAGATATGGAGCAGTTTTACGCAAGCAGGAACTTTTTATGGTCAAATGGCCATTAATTATTACAGAGTCATTTCCAGCCTCACCATTCCACTTTTCCAAGGAATCATAATTCAACCACAAACATATGCTTTATGCTAATGCTAATACTATGCTACAGAATGTCCTGCCTCAAGAACCTTTATTTATCTATACAAAATCAAGTTCAAATTATGTTGATGTGTATATATCTTAGGTTTGACCACATGCTTTATATTACAGAATTTAATTCCCCACAAAACCCACAGTTAAAAAGAATCTTCCTGCATGCAAAGAGCTGGACAAGCGTATATTAATCTCTATTAAATATTTTGAAAAATCATCTCATTATGAAGTTCTTTTAAGAGCTAACCTGAAAGTATGGATTACAAACAGTTATAAAATTTAGCTCACCAGATCTTATCATGACTTGAAAGTTAGGATGAAACGTTATATTTATGCTCAGACATGTTAATTATTGGGCGCTGTCTGTGGCAACTAATTTAGCCCTTTGAAACTCGAGAACAAAAGTATTGCTAGAAAGGGAATGCAGTCTAGGGACTGAAACGTGGGGCAAGGAGTCAAACTGGAGCTCTGTTCCCCATGCTGCCATCAGCCTGATGTTTGGTTTTGGCCAGTTGAAGCAGACATGATGCAAAGATGGCCGAAATCAATAGGACTCTTTCCATTAACCTCTGTAGGCTTTGGATCAGATCCAGACATGCTGCACCTAAGTGCATTCATCTCTCAGAGCGTGTGTGTGTATGAATGCTTGCAAAGGAGCACAGTGAAGCAATTTCTTAAAGACCTCTAAGCATGAGTGAAGAGGCCACAAAGTCCCTGGTAATAAAGGCAGTGTATTAGCATACATTTATGGTGACTGCTACCTATGTGATGCCCTACATGCTTCCTCGCTCACCAGCATGAACTCACACACCTCGCAGTCCTTAACTGTTATATGCCTTCCTTTCTTCCTCATGTTCTTCCTTGGTTTTGCTCCTCTGCTCAAGCTACATTTAGGCCTTCAACGTGATTTTCCACCCATCCACAGTGCTTTCTTCCCAACATCTTTTGATGGGAATTTCGTCTAACCCTCAGCTGTGAGCTCCTTCCCTTTTACCAGATATGCCAAAAGAACAAGTCTCTTGTTTAGGTTGTGAGCACCACGCAGCCAGGCCTGTTGCTCAGCTCAGTCTGGCAAAGTGTCAAACATATTGCTAGTTCCTGAGAAATAATAAATGCTAAACTAGCCACCGCTTCCTAGTGGTTCTTTGTGATCTTTGCCAGTGTGGTGCTGCTGAATTCACCCATGCACAGTTTCCCGATGTTACCATTGCACATTCCAGTCCTGCCCTTAAGACCAGTGAATTTACAGATGCCTCAGCTGGAATATTGTGCCAGTCTACGGGCTACATTTTTACCAGAAACATCTGTGTTTATATTCTGGATTCCAGTAACTAAAAAGTGCAGGGACCATCCAGGGCACATGTTTTAAGCCAACCAGTCAATCAGGAGCCAGAGCTACAGATATGTCTTCTGTCAGTCCTGCAAGGATGGCAAGAGCTGAGAGGGGGCACCCTAAACAAAGCGAGGGAGCATATCTGCAGATGCTATAGGTGTACAGATTGTTGTTGATTGTGATCTTTTCTTCTCCTTGTAGAAACTATACAGGAAAGAAATCAAGCCACCTTTCAAGCCAGCAGTGGGACGGCCAGAAGACACCTTTCATTTTGATCCAGAGTTCACATCTCGGACCCCCACAGGTTAGTAAGGTGGCACATGGGTGATGCATCTTTTCAGTAAGTAAATTCATTCTTTCTTCCGTTCCTCATTCCAACGAGGTCTAAAAGTCTGATCGCCTGTGGGATTACTGAGTTTTGCAATATCCAGCAGGATGCAAAGACTGTTTTGCATTTCCAAGAAAAGAAGCTCATAAGCGTTTCACCAACTTCATATTAATTTGTCTTCAGGAAGGACAGATTTCACATTTTTAATAGAAAAAATAACTATCGATTTGGTATTTTATTAATCTTATTGCTTACTTCAGCTGAATTTAACTATTTCAAATTACCTCATTCAAAGAACTTTGCATCTCTGCAAGTTAGCATGTTTTCTTTAATTATGAAATCCCGTAGACTATGGACTGTTGGAAGTTAATACATGGTTAACAGTAATGAAGAATCATCAAATTCTCAGACCAGTGCAGTTACACCAACAGAAAATTTGGCCCACAATATTTAGAAAATCCTTGCAGTGAGAATGTTGTTCCCATAATTTCTGTTTCCTAATGGGAATATCACACCTTGTGCACTACATATATGAAGGTGATTGTTGCACAAAACACCATCTTTCCACTCTTTTAATGGAAAGCAAGAATGTCAGTAACCTCAGAGTGGTAATCCAAGTTATAATGTTGCCTCTTGCTAGATATGGATAACTACATTACATTTCTACTTGTGATGTTTCTGTATAAAGAAGTGCCTATTTTTATATTATATATTCTAAAATGTAAAAATCTAATCAGCTGTTGTTTGTAAAACACTTTGAAGATGGTAAGTGCTGTAAATATCACATAGTATTGTTTAATAACCAAGTAAAATGTCTCAAGCATCAACGCTCAAATTGCCCCAGAGCTATTGTAGTGAGAGTAAGAGATCTGAGTTCTCATTACAAAAAAAACTGCATTGTAGCACATGAATCAGACCTGAGATTTCCTGTAGTTTTCATTCAGGCTTATCATGACCTTCAGCCTTTTTCTTAAAACTAGCCCCAAACTCTATTCAAAGCCTGACTCAAACCTCCTTTCATGGGGTATGAAATAGTGGTATATATTAAAAATCTTTTATCAGTTTTGGTTCTTAGTTTTTTTGGCAAGGATGTGCTGACGTCCACAAGCTATAAAAATGTTACACTCTGCTGGAACATCCACCTGTCTCCAGTATAGGTTAGTGATGTTCTGATATTCCTGTCCCACCACATTGAAACAAATAATCTTTGGATACTAGACATTTCATACCTTTGATTTTAGCTTTAAGTCAGATTTCAGAGGAATCTATATGCCCATTTCTCTGAAAGATAGGACACTGCAAGTCAATCTGATCTTGAGAGAAGTGCAGACTGATGCTGCCCTGGGAAGTCTCAGAGCAGCATTCAGAGTCTGGATAGCTTTGGAAGTTCACACTTCATTGGTTGTACTGGCATGAAAACCATTGTACTTCATGCATGTGCTTATGCTCAGGGTTATGTTTTACACTCTGCATGTTACTACTGGTGCCTAATTCGATTTGATATCTCATGCAAGACACAGACTTGGAAGGTTTGTCTTGGGGTGGTGTCTGGAGTGGGGCAATGGCCTGCCTTGGTTCTGCTTTGTGCTGTTATGGAAAGGGACCTGACAATCAAACCCTGGCATTTCAAAATAGGCGCAATTGGACGTGTGAATCCCTTTACACTTTCAGAGTTACAGAAAAGCCCTTGCAGACTGGCAGCATGTTTTGCAGCCCCTGACTCTTGACTGCTTGTGTCAACCAGAAGGGGAGAGCATCTCAAGAGTGTTTAATACTGGCTCATATTGTCAGTGGAATCAAACAAGAACCATTTTTGTTTTGTGCTATTTTTGTCATGACATAGGCCCCGTACAAACTTACTGAGAATATACCCAGAGAGAAAGCACTGTAATAATTCTTTAGGTCTCATGATGATAATGCGGCTGTTTTGTTTTAATGAAGCTGTCAGAAAGATATTACCAAGGAGGGGCACAGATATGTACAGTCATTTTGCACTCTGTGTTTATGAATGAGTTCTCCTCCCTGGAAACAGGTTTGTGTCAAAGTTTTGGATCCAGTTACTTGCCAATCCAGCAACTAGATATATCTCAGAAAGTTTCCTTAGCCTGAAGGTTGAAACAGCTTTCTGTAGATTCCTAACCTCATCTTTGAGCATGCCAAAGATGCGGTTTCTGACACTGACAGCTCATCTCTATGAATATAGTTTCACATCACTTTTTCTCAGGTATTCTTCTGAGTCGGAGTCACTTTTTCTGGCCGCTTGTTTCCTAAGTCCACTACTGTGGACCCACATCTCATTTGTGCTGACTCAGCTCTTCACAGGGAGCAGGAGACCGAAGCAATCCAGGTTATAAACAGTGATTTGAACAAGGATCAAGCCAAGATCATTCTGGTGATCCAACTTAGATTTCAGTTCACAAATGGTTGTATTGTTGTAAGTGATGGGGCAGCGTGCTGTAACTGGCAGGGATGTCTTAGGCTGCCTTCACTGCTGAGAGAAAAGATGTAAAATTGCACCTCAAGTATCTAAATTTCCTCCTCTGCAAAAAAGATAATAATGTTTGCTAACCCCAGTGAAGTATACTAAAGTAAATTACTTAAGTTTTATGAAGTCTTTGAAAATCCTGTAAAGTCAGATACTCTAGTGAGACAAAGCACGGGAAGAAAGGTAGCCATTATACAAGATCGGTGTTTGCAAGTGGGTCAGATTCAGACATAGGAAATGATTCTGGATTTATCAAGACTAGGAAAACTATGTAGGTTTCATAGCTATCAGTTAATTAACATGATTTAAACACAATTTTGCACTTTAACACAGGTGTTTCAACGTTTAATTCATATGATGGCCATATCTGTTGGTAGTGATGAATATTTAATATTGAATACTAAATAAACAGTAGTTCTCCTATAGTGTTTGACAAAGAGACTGGCAGTGAATTATGAAGGAATAGTCATTTTTAACCAGAGATTACCTAGCACTTTCATTTTAGAGACAGATCACAGCATTTCTGAAGTTCAAAAGTGTTCAGATTTGAATTATTGTCATTCCTTTTTTTTCCGTTAATTAATCCCTCTTGAAAAATCACTGTTGCATATATGCCATTGTAAGAAGCACCCAGTGATGCAGGAGGTCTGGTGTGATTCATCATGAAATTACAAGGACAGTGCCCCGCAATACACTGAGATAAAGAATGAGCCCACGTCATTTTACCAAAAGACAAGCTTCTCCATGTACTTTGCAGTGAGGTCTGACTTGCTGTGCTTATTTCTGACTCCTGTCAAAGCTGAGGCAGCTCTTTGTAATGAGATAATAGAATTAGCTGCAGTCTCAGTTTTGTTTCTTTCTAAGCAGATAATTTATTTTTACCATATTCTGGCTTCAGATGCTCTGTTCATTTGACCAGTAGATTTATAAAGGGAATGTCCACACAAGGAAATACTTACATTCTCACATGTTTTCAGTAGCTCAAGCAATACTCAGTCGTCCATGTCATTACCTTACACAATAATGGGTGGTGCTGATGGTGTAGGCAGGTGAGTCAGATATAAGGTCCAGTGGGGATGTATTTTCTTTATTCTAGTGAAGCTGTGTATTTACACGCTCCAAGGAGACAGCTTTCTAAAGGAAGTTTAGTTTCATAACCTTGCCATGGTAAATCACATGTTGCACTGGAGGAAATGTGAAGGGGAAGGGAAAAAAAAAACAACCCCCCCCAAAAAAAGAACAAATGAAAGGTGAGTAATGGTGTGTACCAGGAACTGCTCTCTAGTTATTTCATTCCAAAGGCAGAATATTCAGGGCTGCTCTGATGTCCAGCCATTTCTCCCCTTGATTTGCCATGTCAGGGAAAGGATTGGGGAGAAAAAGTCCATGAAGGTTAGTTGAAACACTCCTAGTCATTTTGTTCACCTGAGGACAACTCAACCAGCATCTTCCCTGGAGTAAGTTCCAGCTCCTAAAGCTCCTCCAGAAACATCCTTATGAGGCCATAAACCACCACTACTGGAGCATCGCACTCTTATACTTGCTTCAGGTCCTGTCTTCTTTACATTCTCTTGATGCACGCAATGTACCACATTACACAGAAAGCACTTTAGCCTTTGTAATATCTGTAGTCAAGGTGTGCTGCGAAGGACAGATAGAGGAGCTTGCAGCTTTTTTCTGCTCCCTGGAGAACATGTGCTAAGCCAAAGGGGTGACCTGCCTTGGGCCATCTGTCTTTCTCCTAGCCTCACCATCCTGTGCCTTCTCTCTCTGTGTGGACTCCTGGCACAGATAGTGCTTTATGTAAGAATGATATGCACTGTGAAAAAAACCTCTGTATCCAAGAGGAGAGAACCTTGCAAACCCCTGCACTGATCAGATCCAGAGGAACAGAATGGAGAAGGCACAGCAAAGCCTTGATATGGAGGTGGAATACATTCACATTTATCTGCAGGTTTGGTAGGATCTACTGTTGACTGGCAGAGGTGACACTGTATGTTGCAGAGGTGACACTGTATGTTGCAGAGGTGACATTGTCTGTTGCAGGTGCTGTGTTATTAATTTCTGATCTTTTGTGCAGCTCATGAGGCCATTTTCTTCCTTCTCTGACAGATTCCCCAGGTGTTCCTCCAAGTGCCAATGCTCATCATCTTTTCAGAGGGTTCAGCTTCGTTGCCTCTAACTTAGTGCAGGAGCCTGCACAGCAAGATGTGCACAAAATCACCGTCCATCCAATTGTGCAGGTACTGATGCTGGTTTTACACTTCGCATTTGATGGGCAGATACATATGTGCATAGTGTATTTAAACTGCCTCAGCATTCTCACTGGATTTTCACAGCTACTCAGTGTAGGTAGGAGGTGTTTACATGCAGCATGTAGGAGGTGGAAAATGAGAATTTTTTCCTAAAGGCTTTTATCTTTAAGTTCACGTTCTCCACAACCTTTACAAAGGAAATAGGAATTCCACCTTATCAGAACTAAAATGAAAAGTACTTCTGAATACCTGAAACAATTCCAGTTGTGCATACAGGGCAGGTAATGAAGTGATTTTTCAGTGAATGCATGTCATTCTCAACAGTTTTATCTTGGATTATATGGTACAGTCTGTGTTGGCAAAGGGGCTTAATGAACTACTGCTGTAGGCTCTCACAGACACAGAGCCCATGCTCCTGGGTGTAAGAAGCCACCGGGTTCTTGTTGCAATTGCACAAGAGCCTGAGTGTACTCGCATAACCCAGAGCGGCTTGACGGGGGAAGAACACTTGCCAGACGCTTGGTTCTTTGCTGTTCTTCCCCTACAACATGCTTTGCAGTTATTGTAATTTAAACCAGAAATGAATTGCTACAAATGGCTCAATACACCAGAGGGACAGTAAATTGGGATAGAGAACTGGGATGCTCAAAAATGCAGCAAATTTTCCCACAAGGAAAAAGTTCCTCTCTCACCCAAAGCAAGAGGTATACACACCTCAAGGTGAGAGCCCTTGCCAGTGGTTTTCATAGTTTTCACCCCTGTCTTGATAATTTGCAGTGGAATGTGTCGTATTTAGGGTGGTGAAACACTGGAACAGGTTGCCCGGAGAAGTTGTGGATGCCCCATCCCTGGAAGTGTTCAAGGCCAGGTTGGATGGGACTTTGAGTAACCTGATCTAGGGGAAGGTGTCCCTGCCCATGCTAGGGTGCGTTGGAACTAGGTGATTTTTAAGGTCCCTTCCAACCCTAACCGTTCTATGATTCTGTGATTCTTAAAGGTTCTCTTATGCAACAGTAAGTGAGATGTTACCCAAGCAATTACATCCAAGAAATTTTCTATATATTCCTTTGATTTGCTTTGTAAAAATGTGTTGAATGTAACACATGCATGTCTTAAAATTTAGAAGGTTCTGTGTGGACTTTGCTAGCAAGGATACATTTTCTAGACAGAGGATCTCAGATGATTTTGAGAGTTGCTGGTCATTTCTTGAGTCCTGGGATGGAATTTGCAGCAAGGCCTCTGATTTGGTTTCACCACTTAACCCATTTGGCTGCCCAAACGTTTTCCAAAGGGCATATGAACTAATGATGCCACAGTTAATTTTGTACTCTTCAATAAGTAAAATTAGAAATTTTAAATTATCTTCCTAATATTTTCACTAGCAATATATTTTCTTAAATTAGATTGGCTTAAAATAGTAACTTTTCTCTCACACAGAAATCATGGTTAAACGTATCCTGAGCAAGATCTCCAGTGGTCTACATGCAGCACACCCCATATGTGGAGTATCTGTTTTGTAGCCTGTGAAGCTATTAGTGGTTTACAAATTATCTGGCCCCTCAGTAATTAGAAATAAGTTTATATTGTCAAGTTATGTGGGTTTGTCAAGGGATTTGTGCCCACAGTTTCCTGTAAATCTAGAGATTTAGGTGATATGAGGTGAGTTAGGTGATAGGAGGTGATTGTTCACGTTCCTTAAATTGTGTAGAAGATCACTGCCTTTTTTCCATTACTTCTGCATGGACAACTCTGTCCTACAAACTGAAAAAAAGGTAAAAAGGGAGAGGACACCCTTGTTTAAATAAAAAGCTTCAGATTTTTTTAACTGAACTTTGAAAAAATGCTAAGGACAAGAGAGGTCTGTGAAGGAGATGTGTCGTGGGTTAGGCCTCTCTGGCAACCAAACCCTACACAGTTGCTCACTCCCCCACCCCCAGGGAGGAGGGAGAGAATCAAAGAAGAAAAAGAAAAGAGACCCGTGGGTTGAGATAAGAACATTTTACCACTACCGCTACCAATATATATGTATACAGATATGTACAAGGATAAACATATACAAACGAGTGATGTACGGTGTAATTGCTCACCGCCCCTTGACGGAGGCCTGTCTTGTTCCAAAGCTGCAATCCCGAAACAGATAAAACCCGATATTACAGTCCCGGATGAACGGGAGGCCCCGAGACAGAGAGCAAGAGAGAGAGAAAGAAAACACTCTGAGAGTCGGAAAGTGAGAGTCCCGGAAGGGCAAAAGCCCTTCTTTCCGGCTGACCCTCACTCTTGTACTGGGCATGATGCTGCATGATATGGAATACTAATTGGCCAGTTTGGCCCTCAATCTTAAGTTCGAGTACAAATCGTAAGGAGAGTCATGGACGCCTTGTCCCGGCTATGCTCCCCCCTTATCCTGTTGTGCTCCTGCACACTGGCAAGAACCCGGCAAGCTGAAAAGTCCTTGAGACCTCAGTGCCAACTACAAACATCAGCTTGCTATCAACATTCTTCTCAGAGCAAGCCTCTGAGTAAAACCAAAACACGGAGCTCTTCTAGCTGCTAAAAAGAAGAGCTAACTCTGTCCCAGCTAAAACCAGGACCAGATCAAGCTCTTCCTTTATTAAGACAAGGCTAGTCCTTGCTTTTACATACCCATGTCCTGATTACCTTGTTTCTTTTGTCTTTTCCTATAGCAGCTACATGGGAACAACATTCACTTTACAGATGGATACGAGATCAAGGAGGACATAGGAATTGGCTCCTATTCAGTGTGCAAGAGATGTGTTCATAAAGCCACTGAAACAGAGTTTGCAGTGAAGGTAAGAAATCCTTCTGGTAGGTGCCAGAAATGTGATTGAGATTGTTCTGCCAGCCTGGGCAGCAATGCAGTCAGCGGATGCTTTGTTGGCATTTTCTTTGTTGGTGGGTGTTGCTTGTTTGTTCTTCCTTTCTTTCTTATAGATGACAGATTTCATGATAAGCCTTATATTATTTCTCACACCTTAATTTCATCAAGTAAAATTCCCAAATGGAAAAACCCTTTACAGTCTTGCATGGAAATCCTGCTAATCTTTTCAGGCATGCTCCTTGCAAACTAAATAGGATTTTTAACAGATCCTACATTGAATCATCATAAATAAACAAAATAACGTATAAAATGATTGCAAAGTTGAAATAGCATTTTATTCCTCTTTCTCAGGTTATTGAGCTCTGACATTTTTTATTGTAATTAAACAGATTTGTCAGTGAAAACCATGATCATCTTCAAAAATCCAGATTTCCTTTTGTCTCCTTGACATTCAACACCAACATGCTACACAAAGGAGCAAAAGGCAATCTTCAGCAGAGGTTTAATGTATTAATTCAGTGGAATTTAGTTTCATATTAAAGACAAGTCAGAGAACTTCAGACTTGGTCAAGCAGCACCATGTAAAACAGAGTCACCACAGACGCAGAGGCCAGGAAGCTGCTAGGATGTAGGGTATGAAGAACCTTTTCTCACAGGGAAGAACTTCAGTAGAACTGCTTTGGAAGGTCATGCTCAGGAGACTAAGTCACAATCTCTATTAAATGCTGTTGAATGAACAGTGTGCAGCTATTTCAGAGTGCAGAACAGATCAGTGTACGTGGCAAGTGATTGTGAGGTTACGGATCAGAGGAAGAGTTCCAAACATTCAGTTTTCTTAAAGAAAAAGGCATAGCAATTAAAATACTCATATGTTAGAAAAGTATTTTGTGGTTTTGTTCCTGTACCAAAAAGAAACAAGATTGGATTAAATGAGGAATTAGTATTTTGAATTTGAAAATACATGGACAGTTAAGTCAGATCCTTTAATTCTGTGTGATCTCATGGGAACAAATTGCTTAAGTGAGCATAAGACAAAAGGTAGCGCCCTGAAATCAGTACATAGAGAAATGTATTTACCAAACTTGCAGTAAATGAGGGATTCTAGCCAGTTGCTGCTCTACTTTTCTTATTTCAAAATTTTAGAAAAGATATGTAAACTTAGCTTATAAATGAGATTGTGTTTTTGCTAATAAATGAGATAATGAGAGCTTAAAGAAGCGATCCAAACTGCAGTCCATGAGATAAATGAGCTGCAGGTAGTCAAGAGAATAATACTGAACCTTTTATTCAGTCTTATTTTCCGTTACAAGAAAGTCCATGAAAGTTTTGATGTCTTCCTGTGGTGGCTACAAAAATCTGGAAACCACTAATAACTAACAATCTATTGATGTCACTGTTCAAATAAAGGTTGATTTTTCTAGGCTACACCATAATTAGGAGTATGGACCTACTACCAGGTTCACAGGCTTACGCATGAATATGCTAGAATTTTCATTTCTAATGAATGGAAAAATTAGATTTTTCCAGTATCCAGGTCATTTGTCAACAGATGGTATTATGTTATAGTAGATATGGGTTCTGTGTAATTAAATTACATCTGTGATGAACAAAATACATATTAAATTAAAGTAATAACTTTAATTTTTTATGTATATCAAAGATTGCTCACAGTTTTATTGGTGTAATATAGACAGGATGAAACAAAAATAGAAAGACCACAGCCCTCAAAGAAGTATGAGTGCCTGAATCCAAGAGGGTCCAGCACCTACTCAGCAGCTGGGTGTTTGGACTACCTCAGAGGATCCAGAGCAAACTCAACACGTGGAGGTGCTCAAAACTCCAGAAGATTTTAGCACTTTCATCACTAGGTTTATGCTCTTTCCCATTTTTATTAACCTTTCCTCTCTTTATTCCCTTCTTCCTCCACTTCTTACAACTCTTCTCTTGCCATGCTGATATGTCTTGATTTTGACTACCAGTTTATGCAACAAGCGCAGCATCTCAGGTTTTGACACAGTGTGAGTCAAACGTGAGGCGCAGATTTGGGATTGGAGACTGTTGATGGATTTGTTTATACTGTCTTTCCAGCACATTGAATGCTGCCTCTCTGATTATTATTGCTACCGATATAGTCATTTTGTTTTCCTTTCAATTTTATTTTTATTTCATATTAAGATTATATCATTTTGTTACCAAAGAAGCTCGCTTTCATAGAGATCATACAATGCCACCCATTTCAAGTAATTAGATAGTGCAGGAGTTGCAACTGATATTATCATAATTATATGTCAGCCCTTTTTGACATGCATCCTTTAACTCTCTCTATAAAAACCACTGTAATTAGACTCTTCTGATTTCTTTCAGTAAGCGTAATTTTCTCAGTGCTCCCTAATACACAACATTCACAGGAAAAAATATCTGCAGTGATAGTTTGAACGATAGGCAGCATCCCCATTTGCCTGGCACCGCCTCATTAAAAGCTCCCTCTCTAAGACGAGCTGCCAACAAGTCAGAGAGCATCATCCCATCTCCCAGGAGAAGCTGGTGATAGTGAAGAAGGTAAGGAATGACGTGGAGGTATCACCATGGGAAGGGACACATCATGTCACTGGGTAAATAATCCCTCTATGGAAACTGCCACTCACCAGGCCTTATTTACTATTGCTGTGCAGTACCGTACTGATTCAGCAGAGTACTGCGCCACAGTAACTTGAGTCAGAGCTACGGCTGGAATATCCACTCAGAGAAATAAAACCTTTCCAGAAGCAGAATATATTTGTTAAAGCACAAAACATTTCATCCCTTTTCCTTTTGCTGGCCATCTGCAACTAATCGGGGGCCATGCGATGGAGATAATTAGATGTCTAGCAGTGCAGTTCTTTGCTGGTGGTGTAAAAGTGCTTGAACAGATCTGCGATTTACATTGTTTCAGAGTTTAGTGAGACTAGGCACATCACTCACTGAGGTACTTTTGAAATTCCCCCTAGACACTTCTCTGCACCTTTAGGCACCTAACTGCTTTTGTAAATCCCATCACTGAACCTGCAGAAGAAGAGAATTTTCTTGCAACCTCTTCCCTCTTCTTCCATGTCATCTGTAAAAATGAAATGCTAATAATAAACTCTCAATCTATTTTGGATGTGCCCTCAGGCTCCTAAATGCAATATTTAAGAATTCAGACTTACATCTCCACTTCTGAGAGCATTTCAATACCATGCAACCAAGAAAACCTCATAGACAGATTTCCCACAAACTGAATCTACCCTGAAACTAGGAGCCTCCTGCCTGGGTCAGTGCAGGTAGATGTTCGTTTAGGAAATCTTTGTATCATGTTCTAATGTATATACATACTCTGAGTTAGTTTTAAAATTTTACTCTTAGGCTTTTTTCCATCTCATTCCTGGGTGAAAAAAAGTATAAAGTTATGAAATAGAAAATTCAGAAATCGTTCATTCTTCTGAATGTTTTATAAGACTCTGGTATAAAGAAGGGATCTAGGAAAAAAAGTGTTTTTCCTCTGACAGACCTCTAAGGTGTTTCAGATTCTTCTGCTAGAATGTTGATCATTCTGACTGCACCATAATGATTTTTAACAGCAAAGGGAACTGGCATTGTTGATCACAGTTACAAGCTTCACATGGGTACAAATGTAACAGTGAGGTCAGAAGCAAGGGAAAATCAGATCAAACTATTTCAGTCACATCAGTATCTAGAGAAAATAAGTCAATTAAGTAAAAGGATGATGCTAGAGCAGATAGGAGGGAATTCTGTGGATGGAAGAAAGTCTGCAATGGAAGACTAAACAGATTAGGAGCTCTCTTTTGGAAAACAAAGGAAATACTACAGTTCAGGGTTCTTGGTGAATCAGATTTTTCAAAACCTGACAGAGATTTAATGCAATTAATGTATTTGAAAAGTTTTTCTTTACTTAAAACCATTGCACTGGTTTCAAGGTTGGATTCCTACTTATGAAGCTTTCAAGCCGGATTTTCAGATGTGCTTCTTATTGATGCCAGATTAAGTTTGCAAAGGACCTGATTGCATCCCCCTTTTTCTAAAGATTTCTCTATTTAGATTGACTCCTTACCCCCAGGAGGGATTACTGGGAAATAATAACCAAGTAGAAACTGCTGCTGCTATGGCCTATTCTACCCCCACTATGGCAACTGCCCCAAATGTTACAGAGGTGGGTGGCATAGGTGTCAGCTTCAACAGCTTGATGCCAACTGTTTTCTTCTCCAGGTCAAAAGAATATCTAACTGGTTGTCTTATGGATTTTTAGTCCTTCTATGCTGTTAGAACAAGAGGGAACAACTGGGTAAAAGGACAGCATATATGCATTTCTCCCCCCCTTGAAGAAGAAAAACATACAGTAGAGATAGTCCCAAATGACAAGCACAATTTTGCAGATGCCAATACTACAGTGGAATTTGGATCTCAAGACACGTGTGAATTTCATGACTTTTTCCTATCTCTGTGATGTACTAACCAACTTTTTGGCTCCAAATGTTCCACAGCTGTGAGCAAAGCCAAATTTTGCAGGCTATGTCTGCCTCTGGGATATAGGTTAGTTTATGCTGGAGTCCTAGTAAATCCTACAGTTCGTATATAATTCTGGTAATTACAAAGCACTGAAAGTACATGTATCTCAGCATGTTTTGGTATGTGCAGACTGGGGAGAAGTAGCGTTTTAATTAGCTGTAAAAATGCAATACCAGCAGAGAAGTGACGTCAATGTGTCATCAATAAATAGAAGTCAGTAACTCATGAGACCTGTTTTTAGCAGGCCTGTGTAATCAGACTCGCTATATACCTCTATTTATTTGGTAATAACAGTGAGTGACGTAGTCACCAAAAGCTGTATGAATTCCAGAGTGTTTCATAATTTCTTTGAACTTCATTTTCCTCTTCCATTGATGTTCACAGTCTTGATTTGGTTCGTTTTACGTGGTTGGTGTAAGTAGATACAAT